GGCTCGGTCTAAAAGTGCTTTAAAGTATCCTGCTTTTTTTCAGTTTACAAAGTTGCACACACCTCTTAAATGAGACTATAGGTAAAGGTCTTTAGCCTTCAGGTTGTCTTCAGCATGGCCAGACAAAATGGCATTTTGGAAATTCTGCAATTTATGGTAGCAGCAGTGGCTCATACAGACAAGCTGCAATTTCTATACCAAATAATGAATTAATACACTGAATTCTGGGCTGAACTGAATCTCCAAGCACCCATCAAGTGATAGCCTGGAAAGGTTGCTGCTGACATGGCAAGTACAGCCTGCTCCCTTCATTTTCAGCTTCTACGTCAGCACTTGTGTACAACTCCCACACAGAAAAAGCACAAACCATGCCAGACTTCTTCAGGAAACACAAACCACTTCTGCTAAAGAGATTAAGCAACTCTTGACAGGCAAGTGAACATGGGAAACGGGAGAGAGCATTTAAGGACAAGTCAGAACACATGCACTAATATTAGCATGACTCCTCAGTTGCTAATAAAGACATAGCTACCCGTAGCAAAACTAAGCATGTAAATTCACTGGGTCTGTGTAGCACAGCTGTGTTACAGGTTAGAAATCCCTGCTTTGTTTTACATACATGCTTGGTTGACTAAAAAAACAGAATGCAACTGGAACAGTCCAAAAATCGTGATGGCTTTTATTTTTAGACTAAGATAATCTTGTGATCAGGTGTCCTCTTGATTCAAGCAGCAACTACAGCAGCAGTGCCACGATCCAGACTCACTGATCTGCCTGGAGCCAGGGAGCTTCCAGTGAAATGTTTCTCCTCTCCTCCGTTTCCCCCAAGCTCTCATGACTTGTTCCAAACAGACTGCTTTTGAAGGAAGCCTACACAAACCATGACTGAAGGCAGAAGGGGCTGAGCACTACCCATGCTTCAGACAGGCAGTCTCCCAAGCTGCCACCAGCTAAGCCCCCACACACTGCCTCCAAGCTTGGTAGAATCACTCCAGGGCTGCACTGCAGACCCAGCCCTGTCAGACCATGGAGCATGGGCAGAGCCCAGAACCCTCCCTGCACCCATCTGTAGAGCACATCTATAGTCTATTCTCTAACTAACCCTTTTTTTAGACTTCAATTCTTCCAGGCAAAGACTATGTTTCCACTGTCCCTGGTATGCTCTGGTGCCCTAGAACAAGGAACATTGCCAGTGACTTATTTCACCGGAAGCAACCTTAATGAACTGCCTCTCAAATATTAATCCAAATACTTTAGGGCTTCCCCAGACACACACCTGAGTGCTGCCAAGTAAGAACTTTTACTGTCAACTTTTCTTAATCCAGAGGAAGAATAAAGTGGTGCTGCAGCACTATGTGACTGAGTGATGCAGATCAGAAACACTAGAAACCACTTTTTAAAAATTATTTTCCAGTATGGGTGGGGGGAAAAAAAGGAAGCATACTGAAAGGTTCACTGATCCAATTTAATTTTCTCAGTCTATCACCACTTAAACACTTGAATTCACTATAACAATAAGCTAAAAGTATGCATGCTTGTTACAAGAGGAGAACCCTCCTCCTGCACAAATCATAAACATACGTTATTTATACATAACTTAGACATGTAGTAGTATTTCCACAGGACTTCTGTTTTCTTGCTTCGGGATGTCTGCTTTCAGAAGGCCCCGTTTCCATGGCTAATGGGTACTATCTTCTGCTATTACAAGTGATGGGTCTCTCTAGACTCGTAAGGCCTAGTGACTCAGGCACTAGGAATACTTCCACATCCATTTCTGACTCTCAAGGCTCACAGGGCATGGTATTTTAGTCAGTCTCTGTTCAGTTTGTGTGACAGATGTCAAAAAACACAGCCTGTCTTGTCAGTCTGCTTCTTCCCTAAGGAAGCTGTCACATTCCCAGAGTCCTAATGGCCTTTTGGAAATGCTTTTGAATCACTAAGGAAGATCCTCACCCCTAATAAAAATCTTTCAAGTTTGATGAGAAGACTCATCATTCATCCTGCCCACAGGCCATGATGCAATCTTCTGGTCATACTGTGGCGTGCAAGCTATAGCCACCCCCACTCTCTTAATTTATCTTGTGTCACAGCAGCATGAGAAAATAAACATCTACAGCACATCTCATGAGAAAATAAACAAGCACAAGACCTTCCTTTCCCAAGAGACGTGTCTGTCCCAGAACTTGCTTGTCCTGACACAGACAGAGTGTGTTTAAAACCATCCTCCTGGAATTTCTGCCACACTGACCAAACTCAATGGCTTTGAAAGCTGAAGTGTCAACAAAAGAGATCTGATGCTGTTATAAGGAGAAAGGAACTGAGATGTTAAGAGCATGAATTAGGTCCAATGTGATACTTGGCTACTGCCAGAAGCACAGGGTAGGGAACCATTTTACAGCATGCATCCCACAGCTTTGCCAAGTGGTTTGAGTTGTAAGGGGTCTCTAAAACAAGTGGTAAAGTAGAGGGTTCATAGGCCTAATCTGCCCTACCCAGCACCCCTGGAATCCTCACTGACCTCAGGGGGCAGGAACTGGCCTCTCAGCATACCTTGTACTCATACCTTGTACTGAGCTTCAGCTACATATTCCACTCATGCACTGTGAATGATTTGCCCAACACTGTCATTTGGGTTTAGAGCTGCCTATCTTCATTTCCACACACGTGACTGGCACTATGCCTCAGACCAGTTGTAGGACTGCTAAGTGGTCATGCAGTTATTCTGTGCATCCCATTCATCAGAGCAATCATGTCCACTTGCCCCAAGCCACACTAAATTGTCTTTAAGCAACTAAGCCACCTTACACACATTGCAGAAACTGCCTCACAGCTCCCAGAATTTCATCATACCTGTGACTTGGGCTTGTGAAATCTGAATAGAGAAATGCTTTCTGGCTTGTCTTACTGTTAGAGGAACTTCCCCATCCTCCTCTCCCAGAGCAGCAGAAAAGGCTTGCTCAGGACATTCCTTGTAGTGGTGGTCACGACTTATGCACAAATAATAAAGCAAAACCTCAAACCAGACACACTATTCCTCTAATGCAATATGGACCATGGAATGTGATACGTATGATGGTTTAAAGTAGAGGTTACAGTAGAAGATTTCCATCATGAGTAACGTAAGACATGCGACTTTCTGATCTGCATAGGAAAACCAAAGGAAGGACTGGTATCTACTGTTTGCAGATTTTATTACAGTTCTAGATGTGCCACAATGAGATGAAAACAACTGCATGGGCAAGCAGTCAACATCAACAAAACTAGATTAGTTGGTAGATCTTGCTGCTTCCCTGTTTAACATGCAAAAAGTGAAATTCCCACTGAAAAAACTCACCTCTTGAACTCCAAGCTAACTTCTTGGAACTAGGCCAAAGTAAACCACCAGAAGAAGAAGAGACAAACTCTACATTTATACTACTTAGGACTCCGAAGCAACCAGAAATGTTATCGGTGATGTTTCACCTACTCAGGTACCTTGACAAATCACCTCCATACATTATTTGCTGAGCAGATTCTATTTCCCCCCCCCATTGTTACTGATTTTATTATCAACTGAAATTAAATTGTGCTTGATTTTAATATAAGTATAGAATTAAGAGATATTTTAGTAAAAATCATTTTACATTTATTGTATTTTGAATCTAGCAACTGACTGCTACTCTAAAATCCCCTGTACAGCCCCATACCATGGCCGAAGGGATTGGTCATAATTGTTTAGTAGGAACGGTTAGAACCTAGATAACAAAACATGAGGTGATTTGTAAACTGATTTATAATACATACATAGGACTAGAAGAATGCAAGTAGTTGTCAAGGTCCAGGATTAATGGGAACTGAGGGAAGTAACTGTAACAGCTTGCAAGTACTTGCCAAGAAAACTGTGTCCTTAAGCAAAAGGTAATTCCGGCAGGGGGAGATCGCGACCACCGACTCATGGATCACTTACTCACATTACACCCTAGACCCATTTCTAGACATTTCTAACCTTTACTACGCAGAATCGGAAATAGGAGAATATGTTAATGATTTCTTGGAAGTTGTATGTTTATGTATAGTACTTAATGAATACGTATGAGTAAGTTCTATATAAGGTGTATGATTCTGGTGCCTTGCACATGTTGTTGGTGAGAGCACTCCCCTACACGTCCAGCTGTCAATAAAGAAGTGTCTGTTTATCTACATCACATTGGTGTTGATAAGTTTTTATCCCGGTTTTCGATGACAACAATATTAGATATAATTACTACATCCTTCAGCCCAGCCAGTATGAATATATGGCAAGCGTCACTGCGCCAGCGCATTTTGATTTCCCGCTTCTTGCCATATATGCACACTGACTGGGTTGACAGGTATAGTAATCAGAATGTGCCAGCTACCCCTTGATCTCCTCAGATACACCATTACTCCTAGGAATCTGGAGTAGTGGCTGACCTAAAATGCTACTTCTGCAGGAATCAGTCCTCTTTCAAGTGAGGAAACTGCTGTCTCCCAAGAGTTGAACGGAAGCAGTTCTCATCACTCTCATGTCATTAGCACAAGCAAACATTCATTGTTATAATTTTAAAGTAACAAGCTACAGAGGCTGAGATCATGACTGGAAGATACGTGATAAGCACATGAAGAACGTAAGGAAAAGTTTAAAAATATTTGTTACTGACTATGGTAATTTCAGACAATGTTTCCTACTGATGTCTGGAGGATTGCTCTGTGTGTTAGTTGAAGTAACTCTCCTGAGAATACACTAAATATGAAGAAACAGTGTTGTCAAAACACTAGCATCTGATAGTATCCTCTGAACTCCTCTCCTGCACCTCACCAACCTACAGTTCACACTGTATCTGTCAAGCTGGAACAGACTGCATGTAGTTCTGGTAAAGTGCATTTTAAGACAAAACAGATGTACCAGTATCAAACTGCAGCTACTGAGTCAAATGACACACTGCCTAAATAGACAATGCACTGGCTAAAGAGAGAGCATGTGGAGAGGCAGAAACTGTTACCTGTGGGCGGAAAGGGAAAAGAATCCACAGAACGAAAAAACTCCTCACTGTTTTCAGAGCTGTGTGGAGGCAGAAAGCGCTCTGCTAGGTCACAAACAGAAGGCAGATCCAATAAGCTGCTCTCCTCCAAGTGATGACTTGGTGACATCTCTTTTCCTTCCATGGTCCCACTGCAGAGACACAAATGTGACTGAGCTGGGGTTTTAGAGCATGAAAATCTAAGCAGAAGTCAACACAAATGATCTGGCATTTTTTAACTGCTTTACAAGTTGAGAGAAGCCATTCTAGTGTATTCATACTTCTTTTAAGAAAATAAGAGCAAATTTAAAGATACAAAGGAAGAACAGCAAAACCCACAAACAGCCTTCAGCCCAAAGCAGGATAACTAGGAGTCCACAGCAAACCTGGCTTTTTTAGAGACACCCCAGATTCAGAAAGTTATGGAGTATATTCCCTTCAGGGTATAGTACACATGCAATTTAAAAGGAAATATGTTCTTACAGGGTCTTTTTCTACTGATGCTTTTAGAAGTCACAAGCTAAACCTATCCCTCTTGGCTCTGTTCACGAAGTTCATCGTGCTTACTAGCAGAAGGGAAGACCATCTTAAAACTTGGTAGTCTCAGGGAGATGACAAGGATTTCCTGGTGTGGAGACACTAGGGCAGCTGTGTTGTACTCCCTGTGAACAGCACTTTGGAAAGCTGCAGTTGAAGCATCCCCATATCCCAACACCATTCTCTTGAGCTCCCTCAACCAGTCCACCACCACAGAGGGCAGGAATACACAGCTGGGTGGAGAACCAGACAGGGCTGGTGCCACCCAGCTCCACGTCAAAGACCACAGTGGCAAAGGCACTGTCAAGGCAACTCTTTTGGAGAGGATGAAATGAAGTGTTCCAGTCAAGCAGCTTCAAGCACAGCCACACAAGTGTCTCAGGCAGGAGAGGAGTGCAAAGCAAAAACTTGGTGGGCAGGAGCTCACAGAATGACAGAGAGAGCAAGTACAAATCCTTGGGCCAAAGCATGATTAGCAATAACTTGGTAAGGTGGAGCTCTAAAGGCAAGATATCTGCAGAAGAGCCCCAAACACCCTCAGTTTCCATCTGATACCTCAGCCACTAGCCTTTGGTCACCCTGCAGAACTCCTTGTGAGGCAACTGAGACTTTCCACTAACAGTAAAGGCTCTGAGCAGAGCACTGTTGTACTCCAGCTCACACCTCTAACAAATAGAGCAGGAATTGACCCAGTCCTTACTGCAAGGTCTTACAGCAGAGGGATTTCCAGGCAGGAGCTTCACTTAAACACCCATTGAGCACTGATGATGAGATTGAGTGGGGTAAACGTGAGCCGACATTGTGGTTTTCTGCCATCACTCAAGTAACAGATGAAGCTTAATGTAAAACATGGACCGAACAAGTCTCACAAAATGTGAATTTAGTTCCCAGCTCTTACAGAGACTCCAGGAAGATTTTGTGCAAATTTCTTCCTTCATCTGTTTTGTCTACTTGTATGCAATTTTAAAAAGCAGATTGTGGCTATCCACGCTGCCCCCTCCACCAGCTGTATTCTGCTATTTTGGTAAAGTTTTAGGATAGAGGAACCAGATACAGTGGCTTGGCAAGAGCTTGGGACCCTGCAGGCTCACATTTATTTCCTCTTCTATAAAACGAAGAAGGCAACACACTCTTATCTCAAGGGTATCATCAGTAAGGAATGTTACAGCCCCAGGGGCCAAAGAAATCCCTAGAAGGGGTTACTACTGGAAAATGAAGTAAATACCTCCATGTAGATTTATTTTTAAAAAACCCACACCGTTCCTTAGGTGCTTCTGTGTTGAGTAAACTTGTAGCCAAGATGTACCTCTGACCTTTGCAAAATGCCAACTAACTTGCTATAACAAACAGGGTGGAGATGTTGGCTGTGATATGGCAGAAGACCAGCTGCCTTGCCTTGGAGGGACAAGCAAGGTCGATGGATTCACAGAAAGTTTCCAGGAAAAACAAAACTGAAGGTTAAAAACAAAACAAAGTACACAACCCTCTGACGCCTAACAAAGGGAAGCTTCTCCTCCATTGGTCATCACATCCCAAAACACAGACGAGACTATCTGTGCATAAGGAACACAGAGAAGGAGAAACTTTGCTCAAATACTGTTTTCATTATTGTGCTACTTTTTAAGTACACGAATATTTTAGAGAACAAAACTGCCTACTTCAGTTCTAGAACCCACACTAAAAACCCAACCGATCCTATCCCTTCAAGGTCAAGTGGGAAATTATAGCAAGAGGAGCTACTGGTGTGATACCACAGCAACTTAAGGCTGTCACTAATGTGGGCTTCTGTGATCCTGGCCATCTCTGCCAGCTGCCTTTGCCAGCCTCCTTCCTTATATTGCCACAACAGGGCTACCACCACGTGCTGCCATGTGATGATCAGGTTCAGATAAAATAAATCACCTTTAAAAAAAATAAAAGTTTTCCCTTGGATCAGCTCCCTCTAGTCCTCCTAAGCAAAGTATATAGCAGTCCTATTCCCAAAACTGATGCTGAGACTTGTTTGTGAGGATAAGCAAGACCCTCAACTCAGCCCTGGGACTTCAGGCATGTGAAAGAGACAGTATTACCTGGGAACAGCACTGAGGCGGAAGCAGTCCTCTTGGACAAAGTCTGGGAGCAATTAGTCTGCTACTGCTTCAGGATCCCCTCCTTCTTCCTTCACGGTTTGTCAATCCCAGCTTGCTGGAATTAAACAAACAGGTCAGTTACATGTTTTGCATCAGCTGATCAAGCTGATGTATGGTGTGGCCTTTCAAAGCACATATGCCTATGTCAACAGTCAGTCATCACATACACCACTGTTTCTCGGGTTTCCCACAGAGGAAAGTTTTTTCTAGGAATCAGAAACAACACATCTATTAATGCCCTTGAGTCTTTCAACAGCAATGGAGACCTCCTAAAAAGGGGTCAGCACACTCCAGAAATAAAGCCAAGATTTTCTTTACAAGAAGCTGCCAGATGGGCTGTTTATTTAAAACCCTAAAGCAGAGAAGCAAATTCCAGCTGGCATCCTTCCCTCCCTCATGTGGAAGAGCAGGTATTCCTCCAACAGGTTTATCTAGTAGTGCTTTGACACCAACACTGATAGGCTATGCTGTGTCAAACCTCGACCAGGAAATGCACTTTTAAGAGGGCCAGCGCGTGGAGCAAGCCACAGGCCCACGAAACCAAAAATCCTGTTTCCCACCCTTTGACATTACCTCATTACTTTAACTGAGCAACCTGTGGAGCTGCTCAGTACAAACATAACATACTTTCTGGAGGGAAACTGGATTTTCCTCCAGGCCACCCTTGACCAGCGGCACTGCGCCAATACCATGAATTGCCCAAATCCACGCTGCCAGTCCTGTGCCAACACGCTGGGTCAACAGCACACCATGGGGTGTGCACTGGGCTCGGTGGGTGTGAGGCGCTGGCCTTACCAGTTGCCCTGCTCAGCTGGATTTGGGGGACGAAGCAGAGGGCGTTCTCTTCCTCCCAGTCTCTTTTCTTTCCCCCTTTCCTGCAGGCAGAGACAGGCATTATTTCAAAAAACGCTTCCTTGGCAGCGAAGGGAAACAAGAGCAACACAGGGCAGCCTCCCCACCGGGCTGGTGTAAGCCAGCCCCCCCCCCCCCGGGAAATAGGATACAAACCA